TTAAATTATTAAATATAAGTAAATGTAAATAAATTTGGTTCAATTTTTATATATTTAAAATCATTTTACACTAGATTGTTTGTCATATATACCTACTGACAATTTATTATTAATATCATCTAAATGCAACAAAATTAATTTACCTGTGGTATTCTATTTGAAGATCTTCTAATTCTTGATCAATATCTTGAGCCCTTTGAGTTTGCATTACTATTTCTTGACTAGTGTCCATTACATCCCAATGTTGTTGAATCATCGATTCATTTTGATTTAATAATTCTTCTTTTTTCTCCACAACTTCGATTTCTGTCATAGCCTTTAGTTCAAGCTCCTTCCTATTATTTTCCATTTCATCAAGTTGTAACTTCAGACCAATTTTTTGCATGTTGAGTGAAATTATTTTATTTGTTAGATATTGATGTTTCTGGAACAAATTCTTCACCAACTCCAAYAGACCAATCATATTTTCTAAATTATGTTCACCTTCCTGAGTGATTTTCAATAAACCGATCTTTTCAACAACAGAATTATAGTCAAGTGGTACATTGAATTGGAAATTTTGTAGATWGTAAATGGTGTGTTTTATTGTGTCATTGAAGTTTTTCTCATTCATTAGTGCGTAAGACAGCTCTCTGATAGTAGCTTTCTCAATGACACTAATACATTTGTCACAGCCAGATTTTAGCTGTTTGACTGCTTCAACTAACGGACAATTTTCTTTCAAATTTGTTAAACACGAATTTAGCTTATCTTGATTAGATTTAAAAACCGATATTTTATCCAAAACACAACTAACTAACAACATACTTTTATAAAGAACATTTGGTGCATGTTCTTCACAAAACTGTTGCATAGTATCACGCTTCCATTTGGTTTCATTAAGCGCCACTGTAAGCGAGTTAATAATTTTCAATTTTTCCGAGTTGTACAGTTGCAAGTTTTCAATCTTGATTGTTTTCAAGTCAATATTTTCTTCCAGCTGTACCACTTGACTTAATAAACTGTCAACAACATCTTGGAAATATTTTCTTTCTACTAATATGTTCTCACTAATGAGTTCCATGTTTTCTTCTAATGAAATCTCTTTATTTTTCAAATATTTGAAGTCATTTAAACAAATAAATCTTGAATCACTAAAAAACAACAATTGTAAGTGAAAGCGACTTRCTTGCAAAACCATGATTTCTAAAAATATAATAATATAAGCTTAAACAAACCTGAATGGACACCGTGTGTTCACAAAACTTGATGATAATTGTTTAAGTTCCGGTGTTAAAGTTAGCTTTTTTCTTCCGGAAAACTTAAAAACATAGAATAATTTTAAATGAAGATTAAATTACAATGTATTATAATAATATAATTTTTTCAACGCACTGAATCAATTAATAATTACAAGTTATACTGTTACATATTTTTAAATACATAGGTAGGTACTTATTATATAGATAACATACATGTATGATGTATTACATATCATTGTTTTATCATTTACTAACTTTAGTATTGCTGATCAAACACTTTAGTAGGTAAATACTTTTTTTGGATTAAATAAATTGTTATGCATAAATTATAAACATATTTCATATGAAGTCAGTAATCCAATTATGATTTGTTTTTATATAA